GAACGGAGCTTTTATTCAAACTGGGAGTAAAAGAAGCTCTATGTTGTTTTCCAAGTTGACAAGACTCACAAAGAAAGTCAGACACATGATGATTTGCGAAACTAGAAGGAAATAAATGCTTAAGTAAATGAAATGAGGGATGCCCAAGACGCCGATGCCACAGCCATAAATCAGCGGGGGTAGTAGAAGACGTGGTGGAAGAATAAGCAAGTTTGTCCGGTTGATCTAGGAAGTAGAGACCATTTTCTGCACTACCACTACCAATCATCCTCCCCGTGACAAGGTCCTGAAAAAGACAATGATCAGGAAAAAACGTCACACTACAATTCAAATCCTGGATAAGACGACTTAAGGATAACAGATTAACAGAAAACTTGGGAACATGGAGAACAGAAGATAGATGTATGGTAGGAGTGACTTAGACTAAAGCTTTTCCAGAAATGGAAGAACAGTACCATCGGCAATCCTAACTTTGTCCTGACCTGAAGAGGGCTTATAGACAGAGAAAAGATCAGAGAATCCAGACATATGATCTGAGGCACCAGAATCAACAATCCAAGGCAAGGATGTATGACACAGGAAAGCACAAGGAGAAGATGCTAAGTTACCTGAGCGGGTAAAGGACGAGGAAGCGGTACTGAGAGCAGTAGAAGATCGGCGGTTCAACAATTGGCGCAAAGCATCCTCCCGTTCAATATCAGAAGTTTGGGTAACAGAAGTAGAATTAGACTCAAGGGTATCAACGGCACTAGACTGATGAGCCCGGGAATAGGAACCACGTCCTCTAGATTGGCCTGACCGACCTCCTCGAGAACCAGACCGATCACCTCGACCCCCGGATGGAGTCCCATGAAGCTTCCAACACGTCTCACGAGTATGCCGCGGCTTCTTGCAATAATCACAGAATACAGACTCCTTAGCAGCAGACGGAGGAGGCAGGTTGAGGCCATCTCGAGGAGTAGACAGTAATGCGGACCGGTCAGTAGAGACAGGGGACATCATAGCAGACCGACGACTCTCCTCATTTTGAACATAGGCAAATGCCTCCTGAAGTGAAGGAAGAGTGTCCATACTCAGAACTCGACCTCTAACTGGATCATACTCCACATTTAGGCCGGCCAAAAATTTAAAGACCCGTTCCCGTGCGATGAACTTCTTGTACCCGACAAAATCAGCAGGGCAAACGGGCTTATAGTCTTCCAGGTGGTCAAGGCGTTTCCAGCCGTTGGTGAGGAAAGTGAAGTACTGAAGAACAGTCTGCTCCCCCTGAAGTGAGCTCTCAATAGAGCGGCGCAACTCAAATGCCTGTGAAAAATTCCCTTTGCGGGAATAGGTAACAGCCACAGCCTCCCAAACGTCCTGGGCAGTCTCCATAGACAAGTAGCCCTCACCAAGTTCTGGAACCATCGAATGGATAAGCCAACTCATAATCAAAGAGTTGGTAATCTCCCATTGGTCATAACCTGAGTCAGTGGTACTAGGTGCCTGTATCCTGCCATCAACATACCCCATCTTTCCTCTGCTTTTCAAAAACAAAGTCAAACTTTGAGACCATGCTAGGTAGTTCTGACCATTAAATAGAGAGGTGGTGATTTTCAGACTAGGGTTGGGTTTCTCAGTCATGGTAGTAGGTAGAATGGGACTCTCACTCTTTGGTGTTTGAGAAGAAGGGGACACACTGGTGGAATCTGTCATGGATACAATACTACCAAACCCGTAACAAAACTAGTGGAAATCACAAACTCGGAAGGTGGTAGTGAGATAACAAGCACAATGATCACTATAAAGACATAACAAAATTAAGAAACCATTTTTGTTTTTTTTTGTTTTTTTGTTTTTGTTTTTGTTTTTTTTTTTGTTTTTTTTTTTTTTTTTTTTTTTTTATGTAAAATTGTGATCGGGGTGGATCCCTGAGAGAAATAAAATATGGGCTGTTGTGCAAATGTGTAAAATGTTTTTTTTTTGTTTTGTTTTTTTTTTTTTTTGTTTTGTTTGTTTGTTTTTATGTTTTTTTTTTTTTTGGTTTTTTTGTTTTTTGTTTTTTTTTATTTTTTTTTATATATTGATTTATTTATGTATACATGTATTTATATATAAATATATATAACAGGCTATATTTATATATATATCAGGATATATATATATTTATATATACCAAGGCTGAGATCATACCACAGTGACAGAGGCTGAAGACGATGACGACGAGCGACGATCGACAGAGGAAGGCGAGGAGATCGACGAGGTGAGGGAGACGACAGAGGAAGGCGAGGAAGACGAGCTGACGGCTGAGTGAAGATCCACCCAGGTAAGCTTCCAACCCTAGAGTGTCGTTGGTGTAAAGGTCTACCAACGAGGGTGAGCCGAAACCCTAGAGGTTCTGCTCTGATGCCATGAAGCTTGAGTAACCAGCTTGGGGTATGATAGAATATCACCCCCTATTTATAAATGAAGATTAGGGTTTACAAGAAAGTCAATTACAAGATAATCCCTGAGGGCACAAAATGATTACAGACAGACCTTAGTGAAACTTTCGGCTAATATAATATGCTAACAATTAGGGATATGTATGAGGGTGTGGTAACCACTATTAGATTGATTGTTAGAGAGACAAGTGAATTTTCAATTATTGTAGGGTTAATAAACTTTAAGTCTTTATCTTTTTGCTTTAGTTATGGATGAGTTAACGAGAAATATTCAAGATGATGTGCCATGGTGTATGCTTTTCGTAGATGATATCGTGTTAGTGGATGAGACTAGAGAAGGAGTTAATGCTCAATTCTGAAACAAACTAGGTGGGTGGAGTATGGGAATTAAATGGTTTCAAACAAGGGTGTGGGGCTTTCTCTTCATAGCTCTGGTCCAGATGTGCGACTGGTTGTTTAAAGGAGGGAGGGGTTAAAGGAGGGAGGGGATGAAGTCAAGTTGAGGGGGAAATGATGGTAAGGAATGATGGTAAGGGTAAGATGAATCTTGTAGTTGGGATGTAAATAGCAGATTTGGATAGCTCTATTTCTGAGAGGTGTGAAAAGAAGGCGACGATATCTACAGATTCATGTCTTTCTCTAGCTATGTTTAATCTCTAGAGGATGGGGGTCTTTTGTTCAATGACAGTCAACGATGAGGTAGAAGCTAAGAAGCACGGACACTTCTAAAAAGGTAACGTATCCGTGTCGTGTCCGTGTCGGACACCGACACTCTTTGGATACTTTCCCGACACGTGTCCGACACTCTTTATAACGTGTCCTATCTTTTAAAGACCCGGACACTCTATGGACACTTGGAGGACACACGTGTCTATCTCTTAAACACACATGTCTATCAATTAGACACATGTGAAACTAATTATAAGTTTGAACAAAACAACTTAAGATACAATAATAAAACAAAAATCATATAAATTTATAGGGATTAATGTCATATTGCATTTTTTTATTATTTTTGAATGATATATTCATATATATAACATATAATAAATATATAAAATTATATATTTCATGCGTGTCCCCCGCGTGTCGTGTCCTACATTTTTTGAAAATTATCGTGTCGGCGTGTCCGTGTCGTATCCGTGTCGTGTCACGTGTCCGTGTCCATGCTTCTTAGATAATAATTGATGATGATGTGATAGTGAAATATTGGTGTTAACTTTGGTTTGTTCGTTGTGATGTTCAGGAGATAGTGATGTCACAGAAAAACCAGTAGACCCGATTAAAGTTTACTCTGAGAGATATGCAGTTGTTCCTGATGACAACGTAAGTGTTCTTTCCACAGTTTTCATTGTCTTCATTACTGGTGTTTAAATAGTTGGTTTCTCCAAAAGATTATAATTTGCAACTGTTATCTATTTATTTGTAGGTCAAAAGGATAAATTTTGCCGAGGGGAAGATCTGATTCTAGAAGTAAGGAATTTGCAGCTTGATTTTTGAAATAGGCCCAAAATTGAAATCTTGTTGGAAATTTTTTTTTTTTTTTTAACTAAGCACAACGGCTTCATACCTTCCATTTTTTTTTTTGGTTTTTATTAGCCAAACAGAGCACAACAACTCTATTTCTTTCGTCACCACTGTCCACGTACAAACCATCAACGGTTGAGATGATTTGTGTAGAATCATCCAACCTTTTTCCTCTCCCTCTCACACTCTCTCTAACCTTTTCGTCCTCCCTCACCCTCTTAGTTTCCCGCTTTCTCTCACTCTATCCCTCTCCCTCTCACTCTCTCCTCTCTCTCTCTTCGATCGGTGACGGTGTCTACCCCCAATTGCCAAAGACAACCTTTCCTCCCTCTCTCTCTCTCCCTCTCCCTCTCACTCTATCCCTCTCGCTCTCACTCTCACTCTCAGTCTCCCTCTCCCCCAAGCGCCGCCGTCTACCCCCACCCCTCTTTCTCTCATTTCTCTCTCTCTGTCTCTTTAGACAAGATCACGAAGAAGATTGAAACCCTAATGAACACAAAGAAGATCATCCAAAGAACACAAAGAAGATCAACCTATTTCTGTCAGGTATGTTTTTTGATTTCACTGTATTGATTTTCTAATTTTTTAAATTTTTTTTTGCTTCAAATTGCTGAAATTGAAAATTGGAAATTGATTTTGTGTTTTGAAAGGATGATGATTGTTGATTTTCTAAATTGATTGTGTTTTTAAATCATTGTGTTTTGAAAGGAAATTGATTGTTGATTCTGTGTTTGGAAATTTGGTACTTGATGATTCTGTGTTTTAAATTGTTTATTTTCTAGCTTGCTTCTGTGTTTTGAAATTTGGTATGTTTGAAATTTGTATGATTTTTGGGTGAATATTGCTTCTGTGTTTGGAAAGGATGATGAAAAAGGGAAGGAGGGAGGAAATAGTTGGTTGAAGTTGACTTCGCAGCTTTGGCATTTGCCAAAGATAACAGCTGCTAAAACTTACCATTGGAGGTGCCTTTCTATCAACTGTTGCCATAATTTGGCAATAGCAACTCCAATGGCACACCATTGGAAATGCTCTTAGGAAGGTGAGTGAATTGAAAGTAGAAGATAAAAAGTTGGAAGATTAGATTTGATGGTTGTGCCATCCCGTTAATGTGTTGAATTATTTTAGCTATGTACATATATTTCTTAAATTTTATATAATTTTTTAGTCTCCACAAATACTGCAAATTGATGAAATTGTTCCACAAAAATTTTGGTTACTAAATTTGTTTTAATGCCATTGACATATACTGCAAATTGCCTTGAGATGAGCAAAGACAAATGTAGTGTGTGGGTGACATAAGTTCCTTTTCCACACGATTGTCGTCTTCTTCTAGGATGATGGAGGTCACCTGCAGTGATTGTGTCCTATGCTTACCCAGTAGGACCAACACTAACCATCCTAGCTCTCTGAATTTCTTGGGTCTCGTAACCTGTGTCATGATTCTGCTAGATATTTTGGCGACTTTTCTGTATGTATACAATGAGAGGTATGTTGACTTCTTAGCGTTGCAATTGCTTGCATCTATTCTTAAGAGGTGAATGAAAGGAAAAAAGCTTACCACTTCTGACTTTCATGTACCAAAAATTTAGCTGCCTCTATTTGCACACCACCTTTCATCTCAAGGCATTAATTAGCTTATTTTTTATTACAATATTAACCTAATGTAAAATGACCACAAAGGACAAAGGGCTATAATACACACCTTACGTAAAATTACCATAAAAGACAATAAAATACAATACACACCAAACGTTACTTACGTATCTTCTCTCTCAAAAACCAAAAAATCCTGAAACAAAAACCAAAAACCCTTGAACAAACAACCAAAAATATACGTATTATTGAAAATTTTGATTGGACTGAATGATGGATGCATCTGGCAATATTGATTTGGCTGAAACAAAAACCAAAAATATACGTATTATTGAAAATTTTGATTGGACTGAATGATGGATGCATCTGGCAATATTGATTTGGAACAATAGAGCAAGGAAAAGGTTAGTTTTTCATTTATTTATTTTTTTTTGGTGTACTTGTTGTGTGGTAAACTGTTTGTATTCGTTCGGATATCCAGATTCGAACAATGTACTCATGTTCCTCAAAAACCAAAAAATCTTGAAACAAAAACCAAAAACCCTTAAACAAACAACCAAAAATATACGTATTATTGAAGATTTTGATTGGACTGAATGATGGATGCATCTGGCAATATTGATTTGGAACAATAGAGCAAGGAAAAGGTTAGTTTTTCATTTATTTATTTTTTTTTGGTGTACTTGTTGTGTGGTAAACTGTTTGTATTCGTTCGGATATCCAGATTCGAACAATGTACTCATGTTCGACTATCTACAATCGAACAAGTTCTAATTGTTCGATTTTCTAGTGTCAAACATATTAAAAGTGTTCAACATAAACACACCGGACAAAAGGTTAACGTTCAAAAGACCAGTGTCGAATGGTTTGCAAAATGAAATTTTCCAATACAATGCGCATGGCAACGGAAAAACATACATAAAACCCTAAAATCTAAGGCAAATGAGAATTTTCACGTACTGTATCTCCAATGTGGAGTTGTTTCCAACCATGATGATAACAACGATCATCATCGACTTCTTTGATGATACAAATAATGGAGGGGGTCGTGAATCAGAGGAGAATGGAGTGAATCAGAGGAGAATGGAGTGAAGTCGTCTTCAGCACGAATGGAGACCGGTTTAGACTGGTTTCCAAACCTCTGGGATGACAATGAAACAGAGAATGGAGGGGGACGTTGTGTGTGTTTTTGAAGTGGAGGTGTGGAATATGGAAGGTTGAAGATTGTGGGTGGGGGGTGGAGTGAGTAAGGTAAAGATGGAAGATTGTGGTGTGTATTGAGCAAATTTCTTATTTATCAAATTACTAAAGGTGTGCCTTGAGATGAAAGGTGGTGTGTCTCAAACTGCTAATTATGCCCTTTAGTTTATGAAGTCATTTCATTTCAAGTAATGCGTTGCTCACAAACTCAGAAGAGGAGGAGGCGGGAAAGAGAACCTTGTTTTGTGGCTAACATATTACATCTTTTTCTGCCATGTAGAGAAATGTCGGTGAAGCCCTCATTTAATTGGCTGGGAAACTTGCTGGTAGCCTGCTATCAACTATGTGAATCCTATAATCTTACTCACCATGTAGGTATTTTTACTCCAGGTGTTCACAGATTATATAGTTTTTGATATTTCTATGATTCACTTAATTTTTGGGGAGCCGTTTTGTGTAAATAAAACTAGTAATAAGATTTGTATCCAATCCACCCTCCTAGCTCCACCCAATTTTAACAGAATAAAATGGCGAAAAAAGACTTACGTAGCCGACCCCACTTGGGTCATGTTAACGTGTGTCCTTAGGGCACATGTTAAAAAAGAAAAATATTATACTTTCTTTATCGCACCCACTTTATGCATAATGTATAATGTATAATCTTTCTAAGCATCTTAACATGTGGCATACGTTAGCAAAATCCGTTTATATTTAGACTCTTTTGGATCACTCCTTTCCATGTACATTCTTCACCAGTTGCTATCCTCTTAATGCTGATATATATTTATATATATGCAAATTACTATCCTCTTAATATATACATATATGTCCTTAACTGTGTTTTTAATTTGGTCAATTGCTGTCTGTTTGTAGCAGTCACGGTATGATCTAGAAGAGGAGATGTGTAATGCTCAAAGAGAGGCAGTGGAGGCAGCTCATCAAAAATGCATACAGATGCCCAGAATTATCCATTTGAGAAAAGCAGCAGCAATAGGCAGCAATGGTGAGAGGTCTGGAGATCACATGGACATTCCCAACCCAACCTAGAGGCTCAGAAACAACTCGACGGAGCAGATTCTCATGATAACTGTTGGCTAGGTCTCCCAGAAAAATCTTGGTGATTTCAGATCATAACCATCTGATTGATGCCTAGTTGGATGATTATTTTGGCCAATAAGCTACATTTCATGTTTAGCTTCTGTGAGAGGTTCAGCTTATGGACAAGGACTTCATGCCGCTCTTCAAGAATAGATCGTGTGCAGCTAGATGGAGGTTTGAGAGTGAGGATTCTAGTGACTGAAAAAACATCATTTTTGAAACGTTTAAAAAAAAAATGAAAAAAGAAAGAAAAAAAGAAAAAAAGAAGAGAGGTCAATGTAAAATAGATTCACATGACAGAGGGAGAGGAGGAGCTCTGCGTATGGATTGGCAATGTGTACAGCGAAACAATGAATGTGTGGATGCAAGTGACAAGAGTATGTTATATGTACCAGCAATGTGTACATGAATTCATCGCATTGAGAAAGATTGATGGCCTTGACTGTTTGACTAATTTCAGTTGGGACGTTCCTAATGACAAAAGAATGCATTTTTCCCAGAGAGGCCTGCCTGGAAGCACTTTGTCCAAACAGAGCTTGTGTTTTGTCTCTTTTTCTTGGTATAATTTCTTTTTCTTTTTTTTTTTCCTCTTTTCTTCTTTGGTTTCTCGGAGAGTATGAAATGTT